GTGAAAAAGATCATTGAGCTGGCAACCAAAGTTGATGTCACAAAGTCCATAATCTCTAGGATTGCATCTTGTTCCCAGTTACTGCTCCAGACACTAGTGAAAGGCTGGCACATTTCCTACATGAAAATACAGATTTGCCTTGCAGGTATTCATTCTTCTTTTCGGCACAATTCTAATAAGGATAATTATCTGATTTATCAATCCCTGGTAAATTGCAAGCGAGGAGGAGAATTAGGGCAGTAAGAGGCAAAGAAATGGAAAATAGAAGTTGTGGCTCAACACACTAGCTGCTTCCTGTCTCTGCAAACATACCACCGTCTACACTGTTCCTTTCTTCTGGAGTCTCAGTAGGTTTTCTTCTGGTCAGTGCTTCTAGAATTGCATTTCTCCTGCCTCCCAGGAGGCATCTTCAACCTGTAAAAAAACTCATGGCTTTTTCCTTGATCTTGTAACCACTTACGTCTCTCCCACCCTGAAGATGTCCTTTCTTGACCCTGTGTCCCCCTTCTGTCTACCTTTCTTTGGTCCCTCTAAACTTCTCATAACAAATACTGTGTTCCCCATCCCAAGTTCTTGATCTCCTAACCAGTCACTTCCCACACACTCTTAAACCTGCAACAATATGACTCCTAGCCCCCACCCTCTGTATTGCTTAATCCAGTGGACATTTCTCAGGCATCTCTAATAATTGACACTATTCTCCCATGATAATGGAAACTTTCTTTCCTTGGCTTCTGAGGCACTGTTTTCTATCTACCTTTCCTACTTTTCCCTACTCCTTTATTCTTCAAAGGGTTTTGTCCCTGACCCTCTTATTTTATCTACCCTTGCTGAGAAATACCTCTGTCCCTGGTTTGACCTATCACTTAAGTACATCAACCACTTGGTTAAGACACAAGTATCTGAAACTTGAATGTCTCCCTCTTCCACAGATCCCTCTCTACCCTCTCCCAACACACAGATTTTAAAAATTAAAAAATAAACCCTCACAAAAATAATTACATATAAAACTGAAATGCATATTATTACTCTGTATTCCTTATCACCATGAATGGCACCAGCATCTACCTAATCACCAAAGCATGGGATTGGAAACCATTCTATTATCTCCTACCACACTGCCTACATTCATTTGGTCAATTCTGCCTTCTCATTGGATCTCTAGTCCATCCCTTCTACATCTGCACTTTACTGAGTTCAGGATCGAATTATTGGTCATCTGGCTTCTAGTGGTAGAGTTGCTTCCTAACAATACCTCCAGCCTTCCATCTGCCGTAACTTCTGAAACAAATATCCTGCTTAAAATTCTGCAAAAAAAATTTTTTTTGCTGTCAGTATAAGGCTAGACTACCTAGAGCATACAATGTGTTTTTAGCTGGTCCTAACATCCTTTTTCCACCTCTTTTGCAAGAGTATTTCTTAATCCATTGTTTTAGCTATGCCAGCCTGCTTACATTTCACCCAAAGCCCTGTGTTTTGTTAACCATCCATAGGTCCATATTTTTGTCTATACTATTTATACCTGGAATGCCCTTCGCCCATTACATGCACAGCTAATTCCTACTCATTCTTAAAATTTCAGCTCTAGTGTCATCTTTTTCAACCTATGCCTTGGGTAACAAGGCTGAGATGAGTGCGCCTCTGAAAAAATTCGATGACACTTTGTGTGTTCCCTGCCCCTGTTATAGCACATTTTGAAATTGTAACTACTGGATTCTCTTATCTGACTCCTATACCAGACTGAAATCTTGAGGCTAACAGTTATTTAATCTGAGCCGGTTGATATCTTTCCTTACTACCAAGTGATTGCATATTGCTCTGCATCGAGTCTTTTATCTGCTTTGTATAGTTGCTCATTTGGCTCATTTCATTATTGCTTCCCAATCTGTGGTGCACCTGGTACTGTGCTTCTTCAACTTCATAACAGTTTGCTTCTGAAAGCTCACAGCTTGATCATCAAGGAAAGGCTAAATATATTTATCCATTATCTTCCACTTAAGAAATCTGGGAAGTAGGTGATCATTTTATGTCTTTCATCCAAAATGACTGCATTTGGGGGTGGCAGTACTTAAAAGTATGTTTTGGTTATTTGGAAAACCACTTTGGTGGGACATCTCATCTGCTGGTAATGAGTGCCGGTGATTTGTTGCCTGGGTGTGAAAAACAAATGTGTGTGTTGGGAAGAACTGCCATTTTAAAGTGTACACATTAGAAATGCTGTCATTGTTTTTGTTCTCAATTGTCCTTTCTCCACATCTAGCTCAAGACTGCAGTGCAGATGACGACAACTTCCTTGTGCCCATAGCGGTGGGAGCGGCCTTGGCAGGAGTGCTTATTCTAGTGTTGCTGGCTTACTTTATTGGTCTCAAGCGCCATCATGCTGGATATGAGCAATTTTAGAAACCTGCATTCTGATTGATTATATAAAAATACATGCACATAACAAGATTTTCTTCCTTTGCAGTTTTGAAATATTTTGTGAAGATTGATATAGCAAAACTTTAAGTCTTAAATCAGTCCCAGCATTTTGAAATCATTCTATATTAATGAAAACTGTAAATAGAACAGCTTAAAACTGAAAAAGCGTCATGTTAATTGGTCCTGAAGACAGATTTGTTGAAAAGAACATCGGTGTGCAGTGTTTCAAGGTCTTTCTTAAGAAGCCTTGGCCAAATTTGGATTCTAACCCAAGATGCCTGAAACTTATTAACATGGCCATTATGGAGGTTGAATGTGTAGTTGTCTCTTCATGGAAATTAATAAATATTGTTTCACTACTGGTGTTCTGTTTTCAGTGTATAAGAACTATCCTGATTTAAACTCATTACAGTGCCTTTGCATATAGTTGATTAAATAAATGTTGATGTGGCATAAATGCCCATCATATGCTTAAACTTGGTTTTCAGTTGTATGTCCTCGGGACTGTCAGCGTTTTATGTGACTTTTGCTGACTTCTTTGAAGCTGAAGTCAGTATCTTAGGCTTGTGATTTTTCCCTAGGTATAAAACAGGCCCAAGAGACCGCAACAACGCTTAATCTGGCTTTAGAATTAAGAGCTTTTAAAAAAAAATGTTTCTTTTTCAGCAGTATAGACTGAAAAGATTCAAACATATTTAACCACTTGCTTTTTTTTTTAATGTTTTTCTCTTCCTTGGATGCCCAATTAGCATTGAAAGATAGAAATATTCTATGAACTAATTAGGAGAGATTGTCTTGTTTCTCTACCTCATCTTGTTGATCTCTGGAGCATTAAAATCTATTTAGTGTTGTCATTAGACTGGTACTTATGAAATGTAAGCAATCTCAAAAGGCAGGCAGTGAGGCATAGCAACTAGGCTCTTAGTTTTTCCAAGACAACTCCTGTGGGGCAGAGTATAGATGGGGGTGTAGAGAGAAGCTGTTGGTGTTAAAATGAGCTAGATAATCAGCCCCTATCGAAGCATGCTCCATGTTAGAAGTGCAGCACAGATACTGAATGTATAGACAAGTAAAAAGGAAGCTTGAGAATTTCACATTGAAGTGATTATTTTATTAATTCATTCTATGTATATATTGACTTGTTCAGAATTTTTATAACTCACTAATCAGTATTTTGGCACCCAGCTATCAGTCTCTGAAAGCTTTCAGTAAAATACAGTAAATCCTTTTAATAAAAGCTATTGTCATTGCTGAAATTCATATTATATATTCAAGAACGGTAACTTTTTTATGCATGACAAAATGCAAGAAGAGAAAAAGATAAAATTAGAGTAAAAAAGCAAGTTACTGTTCGATCATAAATCACACCAAGTAACACATTTGTTATGTGCATGAGATTTATAAAGGACCTTAAAGACTATTTACTCTAAACCCCGTAATTTTTACAGAAAGAAGTGACTTCACTGAGGTTATATATCTAGTGGACAACAAAAGCATTATTACCATTTTGATTTAAAAGAGTCCCAGTGAAATCTAGTCACTCAATAGTAAAACTGGTTTAAACTTGAAACTATGAGATCAGCATTGGACACTTTGAGTTTCTGTACTAATTACTTCCAATAAATGATATATGACGCCCAACTTTGCTTAAATATTTTGGAAGGTAATGTTGGCTTTTTGAATGGCTCCTATTTTGATCTGTTTGCTACTTCAAAGCCTAAAATCTCCTTGGATGGGATCACAAACATGGGAGGAAAAGAGAAGGGAGTAAACACTTGACCTTCTGATGTGTATCAGATACTTTAGAAATATAATTGTTTTTAATCCTCAGATGCCTTATAATGTAGGTATTATCCCCCTTTTAGAGATGAGGAAAGGGAAGCTCAGTTTAAATTACTTGACCAAGGTCCTTTAGCTAATACTTGAAGGAGTCAAGATTTAAACTCAGTTCTGTCAATCCAGAGCTCAGAATCTACACTGCACATGCACACAGCCTTCCTGGTGGTCCAGTGGTGTCCACTGGATTCTGCTTTTATTCCAGGTCACTGCTCAGTGAAAAATAATATAACCTGATAGTTACCTAATGCTTGTATGAAAAACATTATACTGCATTTTCTTGATCGTAAATCCTTTTTAACTGGAATTTTATTACTCATTCAGAATTTTTGTTTATATTTTCACAGCAGTTGTGGCAAGGTAGGAAGGGAGTGGGAAAATACACAGGTGGTGGTTTTATGCTCTTTTCCCATGGTACTATTAGACAATTCAACATAAAGTCTTCCCATATTAGGCAAGCACAGTTCTTTGTTTCAGACCCTTTCCCGTTGTCCCCTTAACTTATGGTTTTTGTACTGAGGAATTAGGTGTGATTAAAGATGAAGTGACAGTGAGATACAGGAGGATTGGTTAGTTGGAAATGTTAATATTTGGGTGGATATAGTAAAAACAGAAGATGGGGTAATGCTCTAAAAGACTAACCTATGTACACTTTCAAAATGCTTGTTTCTTGTTTGCTTGTTTGTGCTTAATTGCATTCCTTACTAATTTCCTTTCCTTGCTTTCTGTCTGTTCTTTTCTGACAGCTGAAGAATGTTCTGCTGACTCTGACCTCAACTTTCTTATTCCTGTTGCAGTGGGTGTGGCCTTGGGCTTCCTTATAATTGTTGTTTTCATCTCTTATATGATTGGAAGAAGGAAAAGTCGTACTGGTTATCAGTCTGTGTAATCAATTAAATCTAGTAGGTTTTTTTTTATTTTTATTTTTTGGCTATCACAAGTTATGTCTTCCATTGGCTAAAAGCCAGGAAATGCTGTGCAATTGTTTGGGATATGCAGATTAGCCTCAGTGAGTTGCTAGCTAACTTGGGCATGAGTAGCACTCTTAGGAACAATTTCTGTTTTTTATTTTTCTATTTTTTGTTCCTTTGTAAAAGTGTAATTGAAAGAAAAATTGTGGCTTATAGTATCTTTTTTAGTAAATAATGATTTTAAGCCTCTGACTCCAATTATGAAAGCATTTCTATTGAAGGGTAATTTTGTATGTTGCAGTTACTTGTATTTTGCCTCTTTGTTTGACATTATTTGCAAAATCAAAGCTGTTGGAGAATTTAACTTGCTTCAGAAAATAAATTCAAGAACATAATGGAATTCATTTTCATTGGTGGCAAACATAAAATTTGGTTTGTCATCAGACTTAGTTTTCCCAAGATTATTTAAATCTTGATTTTTCTGCTAGTTAGAAAGAAAGGAATGTTTTCCCAATATTGTATTTAATAGCAAAAATCTGGCTGTTTTAATTACGATTAGTGGCAACTCTTATTTTAACAAGGACGTCTTTTTTTTTCCTACTAGAGTTTGGAATATATTGACTATCTCAGACTTGCCATTTATGCCGAAGGTTGAAGTAAGATGTACAATCTTTTTTTTTTTTAAGGTGTTCATACCAAATTTTTTTGCCATACTACACAACATGTGGGATCTTAGTTCTTCCAACAGGCATTGAACCCTTGACCCCTGCAGTGGAAGTGCAGGGTCTTAACCACTGGACCGCCAGGGAATTCCCTGGGTTTTTTTTTTTTTTTTTTTAGAGTTATGAATTAGAATTTTTTTCCCCATGCAGCCTTACCTTGTTCAGAAAGTTAATTCATCCTCCACTAAAAAAGAATAAGAAAGCTTTATTTTGTGTGCCGTCTGCACTCTCTCGTCCCCTGTATGAATAAGTTCTAATTGATAAATTTTTAATGTGTTGGTTTCTTTTTCTTACAACAGCAAGTGCTAACTCTAGAAACTAGTGGGCCCTGAAGTATCAGCCAGATGGCTGCCTGGCCAAAACTGGACCAGAATATTCTGGAATATTCTGTAAATTTATTGATCTTGATAACAGACTTGTATCCCTGTAGGGACCTCTAATGGCTCTGGCTGCTGGAGTCAGATACTAGAGGCCTCTCCTCCCAGTGTCTGCTTGATTAGCCAGGCTATTGAATCACCCTGTGATTTGGAAGCACAGTGCTGTATCTCTCTAGTGTGCAGCTTTGCACACGTGTGATTCGTATGAAGGCAGATGCTGATTTTATCAAGCTATTTTCTCTCTATGTAACTAAAAAACAAGTGTCTTCCAAAGATCTGCCTTCGCTTTAAAACCTTTTGAATTAAAAAATTAGGCTTAAACCTTAAATAAAGTTCATTGTTAAATCCAAGGATAAGATCCCCATCTACCTCTCAGCACAGTGCAGATGTTCTCCACTGTATTGCTGCCATTAAGTGATGCCAGAACTCTGCCAATAATTGGGACTGGAAATTTTCATTAAAAAAAAAACTCATCAACATCTTTCTTTGCTATCTTTATATGTGCACCTCAAAAGCATATATTCCAAACTGGAGTAGAAAGTCAGAATGCTCAACTACACTCCCCTTAGAACTTTCTAGTTCTGACTTGCAGACTTGAGCTCTCCTCGATTTGCTAAGTATATAAAGAATGTTTTCTTTTAAAATGTGTTTTTTTTAAAACAATTGCTCAGCTGTTATTTAGTCAAAGTGATGGCACCATAAAGAACAGTGGCTTTGTTTCAATAACTATTTTTGAGATGATTGTCTAAAAGCCAGGTTATTTAAATCAGCTTGTGACCTTGCCAGGTATATGGGTTGGGAAATTCAGATACATTTAGAAGTATGGGTTCATTTAAAAGTTTTCTACCTGTTGGGTAGGAGACTAACATCATTAATTCTTCAATGAGTATCATGGTTTTATCTTAGATAATTAGCAAACATGTTTAATTCTTCTTTGAGAATTAAGATTAATTAAAATATAAAATTATCAGACGGTTAGAACAAAAACTGCTTCAATTCCAATAAAATACAGGAAGCCCAAAATCTGTGAACTGAGTGTTTAATAAACTTTGCTCACTTGAGTTCATTTTTATGTCAGTACAACAGTGGATCAGATAGTGGGGCTTTGAACTCATGAATATAAAGAATTATTTTCACCTGAGCTTCTTTGGAAGAACTGATGCTTGCTGCTACCTAAAGTTTTGGAAATATCAATATAGTGAACTAATTAATACCTACAAAATAAAGCATACTGTGGCACTCCTGTTTCATCTGATATGTGTGAATTTTAGATCGGTGGATTAAAATATAATAAAGATTACTCAATCTATATTACTATGGATAACTTCATTTTTATTCCATGTTCTTAGTATTTAGAGGTTGGATTGGTTTGTATAACTGAGTTCCTCAAATTTTTGTCTCTTGAATTGTCAATAGGATTTACATGATCTCATCGTCTGCAAATTTACATAGGGCAGTCATTAAGGTATTCGAACCTTTAATGTAGACATTTCAAATATAGGGGCCTATATGGTCATGAAAATGCCAAGAAGATATTGAAAATAAAATATAAAAATCAAATTTAAGAGCTTCATAATAATTGTACTTTTAATATATATATCTGTCTGCATTGATAAACTGTATTCACTGTTGAAATTGGTTTCCTTCTGAGTTACCTAACACCTCAGGGGTATGACGGGCAGAAGAGCTGTCCCTTTTCTGAAAATTCCTTTAAATTCCTGATAACCCAGTCTAATGCTCAAATGTCATAGGACTGGATTAAATGGCACACATTCCTTTTAACTTAAGAGACATTTTTGGTGGGAGAAGGAACTGAACTGCGGATCTCTCCATAGTTCCTGAGTAATGGGGTTTCATTTTCTGATTGTTAAATGTTTAATGGGCTTTAATTCAGTCAAAAAATGGCCTTACCTTGCATTTGTGGGACTGGGGGGGGTCTTTCTTTTCTCAACTGAATATATTTCATAACTCTGCACCTCACAAAACCTCTGAAAGAAGCACTTTATAGATAGCAAGTAGAGTGGTTCCATATATGTTGCCATCTATCTAGAAAGTCAATGGGGGCGGCGCTCCGAGGGCCCTGAGCCGCGCCGCCGTGGCTGCCCAGGTCGGCGTTGCACCGGCCGCCTAGGGCCTGCGCTACGCAGGATCCTTGCAGCCCCCCGCCCAGTCGTCGGACGGGGCCTCGACCGCAGGCTGGCAAGAAGTTTGAGAGCTGTGGGGCTAGGTATTGCAGGTCGCTACGCATTTCAGATCTGGAAACCTCTAGGACAAGTAATCACAGAAACTGCAAAGAAGATTTCAACTCCTAGCTTTTCACCCTACTATAGAGGAGGATTTGAACAGAAAATGAGTAGGCGAGAAGCAAGTCTCATTTTGGGTGTAAGCCCATCTGCCAGCAAGGCCAAGATTAGAGCAGCTCACAGGAGAATCATGATTTTGAATCACCTAGATAAAGGTGGATCTCCTTACTTAGAAACCAAAATTAATGAAGCAAAAGACTTGCTAGAAGCAACCACCAAACACTGATGGATGCTCAGAGACCACTCTGATGGAGAAAAGGGGGACCTTATAAATCTAGTCCTGCAGATTAATCTAAACCATGGCCTTCGTAATGTTCATACGTGTACTGACCACAGTCATTTCTTCCATGACCAAGCTATGTAATAATAAAAGATGAGCAGTCAAAAAAGTCAATGTGGAGGTCCATCTTTTTTTTTTTTTTTTTTTTGAGGTCCATCTTTTTTAAGTTCAGTGTGTATACTTTAAGTGCTAGAACAGCCTTTAGAATTTAAGGAAACATTTTGCTTTCTCTATGCTATTGTCTTTTTATTATATTTTGATGACTGTAAATTTGAGTCCCTCTATTTCAAGAGAGCGTGAACAGGAAAAATCTTGGCATCCAATTCATTTTTAGTAGGAAAATGCAGCTATAGTTTTATTGAGCAATTACAGTGCTGTGCACTTGTTATTTCATTCACTTATTGAATGAAATTCATTCACTTCACTTCACTTCATTCACTGTGCACATTTCATTCACTTAATCCTCACAGCAACTCTCTCAAGTTGGGTGGTATCATTCCCAGTTTACAGAGGAGATAACTGAGGTTTGAGCTGTTATTTAACAAAAGTCCCACAAAGTAAGTGATGAAACTGACATTTGAGCCCAGTTCTGTCTGCCTTCAAAGACTGTGCTCTTCACCACCATGCATCTTGGATTCTAAGAAAGAATAGATTAAAAAAAAAAAACACATACCTTACATTAAATGGTTACAGAAATCTGACTTCTGTACTCCTCTGTCCTGCATGTAGTCACCCTATAAATGTTCTTCAGTATTCTTAAAATAACTTGAGTTTATTTCAGCCCAGTTGAAGTGAGAATGAATGTGGTAGCAGTGTGCGTTGTGAAAGATCAAACCAAGGCCAGTTTGTGCTGCACCTTGTTAGAGATGTTAAGCCCTGAATGTCACTGTTTTTCAGAGTAGCCTCATCTAGTTATTCTGATCACGTATCATTATCATTCTGTCCTCAAACTGTTCTGCACCATGAATCATTCTGACTGTGCATTAGTATGTTTAAGAGACTAAATGGATCTGTCTCCTCACTTTACCTAAATTAATGTCATCCCTATCCCCCAGCCATCCCCTAACTTTAAGTGCAGTGTAGCCATGACACTTGGCAGTCCTTGCTGGGTGGTTCTGAGCCCCAGTATGCAGTTCCTCCTACCATCTAGAGCCTTTCTGAGAGGGCATTGAAACATGTTTGTTACCATAGGTAAAATAGATAACCAGTACAAGTTTGATACATGAAGCAGGGCCCTCAAAGCTGGTGCTCTGGGACAACCCAGAAGGATGGGGTGGAGAGGGAGGTGGGAGGGCG